TTTTATTAAAAAACAATATTTACAACAATTGCTAACTTAATAGCATTAATTTAAAGCTATGTAATCATTAATGAAAATAACTTCAATTTCTATTGTTAAAGTCTTCAAGTTTTTATAAAAACTATAATGTGTGGGTGGTGTAAAATTTAACAATTCCAACAAATCTTTCTGTTTTATCACTGATTGCATGACCATTAGGATATAAGGTATCAAGATTTTCAATAATGATTGAGTTTATTTTTTTTTTCAGATGGAATACTCGTAACGAAATTTAAATTGTTGCACTTTCATGAAGCATTAACATTTTCGATTAGTTGTGTTTTTGTTTAATGACTTGCATTAAGCCAGACTGACGTTGGGAGGGTTTTCAATAGATCAAACGAAATGATAACTACATCATCATCACTTTTATATAATTCCACATCCATTTTTATATCCTCTCTCACACTATTTGGATTAATCAAATGAAGTTGTTTCTCTTTTTAACCGACTTCCAAAAAAGGAGGAGGTTATCAGTTCGTCGGAAAATTATTATTTTTTTTTTTTTTTTTTTTTATGTATGTTACCGCATAACTTTGGTCCACGTCAACCGATAATTCTTTTTGCATCGGAAAGGTAGTGTCTCAGAGGTGGTCCCATACTAATCTGGTTAAGATCCGATCAGTGGATCATGAGATATATATATATCGAAATCGGTTGAGGTGGCCCAAAGTTATACGGTAACATACATAAAAAAAAATAAATAAAAAAATTATTCCGACGAACTGATAACTTCCTCCTTTTTTGGAAGTCGGTTAAAAAGTTGGACTCATTGGTAGAGAAAGAGTTGATAAAGTCTTTTATTTCTTCTACCTCACTGAATGGTCTCGCCTGTCAACTACTACTGTCTCTGTTACTTATCTACTTATACCTCTATTCTGTATCAGTGACAAATTTTTTTTACAGTTTTGTTACGGAAAAATATATGAAAAAATTTTCGTTTTTCAGTTACAAAAGTGTTGTCACCTATACAGAATTGGGCTGTTAAAGTAGTCTCAAATGCGTTAAATTTTAAATAATTAATTTGATGTTGCCCTAGCCGTAGCACTGTACGTAATAAAGAAATAAGTGACTTAATTTTAAAATTTATCACATTTGAAACTATTTTAAGTAGGTAAGTACTTAAAAAACTTTGGGTTAGGCCAATGGCTCAAACATTGCCAGAATGCAAAATGGTCTAACCTGCTTAGGCCACTTTTGCATTATTGGTAGAGAAACTAAAATTAATACCCAAAAAAAATTGTAACGCTATGTAGCTTTGTACCTTAAAATTTAGAAGTCAACGACTTTTACTATTAAATTTACCTTATTTGAAATTATTTTATGCAATAAAGTACAAAACAAACAAAAAATTGGGTTAGGCCACTTCTGCTCTCACGGCCTCAATTATACAATAAATACAGTTTTGAATTTCAGAGCGCCATATAAGCGTAGGTATATTTTTCTCTAGCGAGCAATTTTGCAATGACCTTTCCATTACTTAGTTCAGACGATATTTAATAATATGCAATAATAACAATTACCAGTTGCAATACTCTTTTCTTTTTTTTTAACAAGTTTTTCAAGTTGTCGCTAAGAATTTTGCAGCATTATATGTATTTACGAGCTTTTATGGGATAAACTTTACTACCATTGAACAATATGCATATACATATACATACGTATTTAACAACTAAATTGCGCTAAAGTGATTATATACATACGTATGTATGTATTTAAAAGCCTTGACAATTCCATATCAAAAGCTGCCTAGTTCGTTGACTTGAATTGTAACAAGATTTAAGATATTTTTCACTTACATACATGCAATTTAGTCTGTAGAATTTAGCTTTTAAATCAGCCGAGAGTAAATGAAGCCCAATTTCAGACACCTATAGCTAATCGCAACCAAGTAAATACTTGCATTTTTTAAAGATTGCGTTTAATATAAGCAAATCAGATCTTGTGGGCTAGGGTATCCATGCGGTGAAGGATTGTTTCAAACATAGCAATGGTAAATAGTGAGGAGTGGCAAAGAAAAAAGTTGTACCTTTCCTATTAGATCGTACAACCTTACACTTAAAAAAAAAAAAAAAAACATTTTCGCCGTACACATTTCTTTTGTCGGACCTACATTTATCTTTTATTTCTTTCTTCTTAAAATAGTTCTACTAGAACAATCGAAATCCTTACTTAGCAAAAATTTTAGGATTTTTGAGGAGCTTTAATTTATTGGCATTAGGATGATACGTAAGTGTATTAAGAACTGATAACTGACTGGGTAAGCACGACAATGAACTTTGAAGCAGAAAAAAAATTTCTGCTCGAGGCAAACACCGATATATCATACTTTAAGATTCGCATGTAAATGCCGAAGATTTGATGACACAGAAACGAAGCATAGAACTGGTAGCAAAGGATGTTCCTACTACGTAAAAGCTTTGCAAAAACAGCTTAAATCATGATAGTACTGAAGTTGAACCTAAACCACTATAAGACCGCTCAGGAGTTTTTGAACCAAACTGTAACGGAAAAAATATAGACGTAGCATTGCTAAGCTTTGTGCAAAGAACATCAGCGCTATAGCGGCGGTATGGAGTTGTGCTAAAATGCCTTATCATATGGAAAACCTTAAAGCTGATGTAGGTTTTGTTTGCGTAAGGGTGGCAGTACTGGTCTTCTACAGTTGTTACATACCCCCAAGCCTCGGCCTCAAAGAGCTTGTATGAGTAATGGATAAAATAGTGAGGGATGCGAGAACCAGAGCCAATCTGGTGATTGCTGTTGGCTTTAATGCGTGGGCCGTAGAATGGGGAAGCCGCAGGAAAAACGCCAAGGGCAGAGCTCTCTTCACGGCGTTATCACTCCTAGATGTAGCACCTCTAAACAGCGGAGACAAGTTTACCTTTTGTAGGGACGGCACGAAGTCAATCGTCGACCTGACTTTCGTGAGCATTGAGCTTTTTCAGCGCGCCATACCCATAGTGACCACCAACCATGATAATTTTAAGAGCGCAATCAGTAAGAAAATATCGAGAAATTAAGCCACTAATTGAGTTTGAGTTTGCATACAATAACTCAATTAATAAATTATACAGTTAATAATTGCACTAATAGCACATATGTAGGTACATAAATTGAGCCAGATTTCATGCACAACCCGGAGAAGTTTGTGGAGTGAGAAGAGCAAGGTCTAATCATTGAGAAAGTGAAATGTTTGGAAAATTAAAATAATATTCAAAGAAACAAATTGTAAAAAAAATACGATGTATAAATAAGAAGTGAATTCTATACACAATGCAATGGCGTATCATGCAGTGCAATGAGGTGCATAGGAGTTCAGTTATAGTGTATCGACTAAGTCTACGCATTCAGGTTCAGGCGTCTGGGTTTATTTGTAAAAGTGTTTTAGACCTGTCTCAAAGAGGGCATACGCCCAAGTAGATGGAAAGTCCAGAATTTAGTCCTAATACCAAAGGAAATATTAAGCAATCTGGGGAACCCTCGTTCTATCGGTCCAGACTGGACATACTGGAAAAAAATTCTCGATAAAACTATTTCTAACGGACTTACATATAACGAACGTAGAAGACAGAGTCTTTCACCATACCAGTTTAGCTTCAGCAAATCTGGTTCAACTATTGATGCCGTTAAGGCCATGGTTGGCATAGCCAGAAAAGTCATCGAAGGGAGCCTAGAGGTACAAAGGAGTACTCTGCTGTTGTAACATTAGACGTGAAAAACACATTAAACACTGCGGGCTGGCTGCGCATAATGGAGACTCTTGTAAATGTGCATGCCCCACATTACCTCATTAGAATCATTAGGAGTTAACTCTCTGAACGAAAGATTAAATACTGGATCGAAAGCGGCATTCAGTGTCCCAGCGGGCGTACTACAGTGATCTGTTCTCGGACCTCTGCTGCGAATCTTAATGTATGACGAGGTCATAAGCACCAAAAATTATAGGATTTTAGACGACAATGCCGTAGTAATATTATGATATCGAAAGAAAACCCAGTGAAGCTATAAAGACAGTGAAGAAATGGCTATCATCAAGATATTTAAAAACCAGCGATCACAAAGAGAGGCGATATTGGTTCTAAAGCAGTAGAAAACCCGTAGAGACAATAAGACCCTAGTGTTGGCGGTTTCGCAGAACGCCGATACGCGGTTTTTGTACTTTAAACGACGATATGCATAATTTAGCTGCACTCGATTTTTCAAAAAGGTGAAATTAATTATATTTTTGAAATTTCAAAGTTCCTCACAAAATCCTTTCGGATTTTCTTATATTTGGCTCCTAGCTTCGTGACTCTTTTGTGTGTAAAATTCATTGACGTACGGTGTAAGCGTATATACGGCTAGCAATTTTGTAATTACCTTTTCATTACTCAGCTCAGACGATATTTAATAATATGCATTCTACATACGTTACGAGCGCCAGCTGCAATATTCTTTTTTTTAACAAGTTTTTCAAGTATTCGCTAAGAATTTTGCACCATGATATGTATTTACGAGCATTTATGGGATAAACTTTACTGCCATTGAACAATAGGCATATATATTTACATGTCTACGTACAAATGTACATACATATATGTATGTATATGTATGTATGATGTATTTAAAAGATACCAATCGTGCCTGAGCTCTTCTTAACGCCACCTCTCTTATGGCCACCTACTAACAGAGGAGAGCTCATACAACAAATTAGGAATTCGCAGAGGGGAATGGTCTAGCGATTCATGCCGATTTTCTGGCATTACAGCGAAAATTTCTGAGCACCTGTTCCGTGAATCCAGCTCTCTCAGATTTGATATCAACTATGGGAAACTTTTTTCTGAGAGGACTAAAAGTTAGCCCAAGCAGCACGAAAGTACCTGCCGTTGAGCTGCTAGCAGATATTTTGATATTAAACTCGTCGTGGGAAATTATCCTTTATGGGCAAAGTTCATAATACTCATTCTTTATTAACCAATTCACTTAATGATAAGTTTTACATTTTCATAATCGTCTATGTACTTTTGTTTATACGTTTCAAATAAATTATTCACACCTTCAACTACCTTTTTATGGATTTCGTCCACATATTCGGGCCGTGGTATATCACTTTGTTGCACTTCGATTGGTGCGCCAACTACAAAAATTTTTATGTAATAAGAAAACAATTTAAACATACATATTTATTCTATAATGCGTTACTTACCAACTTGCACTATTCGTCTTCTAAAAGGCATTGGAAAACCACCACGACCTTTCATTAACGGTAACGATATACCGGTTAGTCGTTTAACGCACAGTTGCCACATCAAAGCCCATTTGCCGTCCCACCGATCGAAGCTATCAACTTCACCAAAAGTAAAGCAGGGAACAATGGCAGCGCTAACGGATGAGTTAGAATTAAATTATGAGCAAGTTCACTTATCTACTGTACGTATTATATAATATATTAGTAAAATAAGAAAGTCTGGCGTTCTCTCATTAGTCGATAAGCATAGGATAGGATTTAGCATCGCCTTAGAACCGCACTGTCAAAAGTCTTAACAGAATGATGAGTGGAAATCGTGGGCTCTTATTTTATCGAAAACCTTGAGTCATATTATTGTGAGCACATATCGTTTTCCCCAACGATTTTCTCTAATTTTTGTACTAGCTAAGGTTAGGTTAAGTGGGTGGTTTGTCCCACTTCGTGTCCTTCATGCAGCTGCGATAAAAGGCCGTAGGGGTGATATTTACAAATGGTCTGTCAGTACACCCACTAAAGACGAGAGATCCGGCTTCGCGAGAAGATTTCCCTCCCTGATTTTCTCTCCAGCATTCACTGAGTTGACCCGAAGCACATCTTTCCAAGAGTGGTCCACAAGTCCCAGTCTCTCTTCCCTTAGCGGCTCTGGAGAGTTAATCAATCACATAGTTACCGACGATATAAGTTTTCCAGCTGCACTGGGTGGATCTGACGAGCTTCATTGTTTTGTTAACACATTTTCTCGTTTTAGGTTGAATTGCGGTTAAATTTTTTTTTAGAGTGGAGTCAGCTCAATAACTCAACGTTGAGTTGAGTTAAACATTTGTAGAGAATATACACAGCAAGGCGTATTCAATAAGGTGGTATCGGTACGCCAATAACAAAATGTACATGTATTTTGTTTTTGCTTTTGCGGCGAGGACTGTCAAAAATTTCATACGAAGGATGTAAAAGAGGACAGAAAACAATAAGCAATCAACTGCTCTAACCAATCAACAGCAACCATTTGACATATGAAGCCGTGAGGCGAAGAAAATCAAAAGGGTGCTGCTATCACGTCTTAAATACGCCTTGATACATAGCTGAAGCTGAATAGACAGGGGACTAGCGATGATATTGACCTTGTACAGTAGATCTTCACCGAGGTAAAAACAACAAACAAAAATTCTGGGCTAAAAGGCAATATAATTATTTCTTACGAAGGATAAATTTGGATCTCATTGCCGAAAATGTGTTTGTTAGACTAAGTTTTACGGTAGCTAAGTATGTGATCCGTTATGATTCGATGGATTTCCCTTATCCATTCAAAATTTCAAGAAATCTGAATTTAATATAAAGCGTAGAGTAGGGACTTGAATATTGAATAGCCATTAACTTCGTTTCAATATAAAAATTACTAATTCTTATCAGAACATCCTTAGCTAATTAAGTTAGAGGTTTATCCAGTTTCGAAATAGTTATGCTCTTATTATGACTGTTATGATTGCACGTATTTTTGGCATAATGCCAGATTTCCATTTGTGCTTTAAATAACTCAGTTGGTCATTATGGGCCATTCACAGTCATTAGCAGGGCCGAAGAAAATAAGCAAGGAAAACCTAATTTTAATTTTTAATTAATAATTTAATTTAGATATGCTCCAGGGATGATTTTTCGCTTTTGCGATCCCGGGATTTTCGGGATGTCGTTATCACAATCCCGGTATCCTGGGATTAGTGTCGGGATTTAGATGTTCATTACTTTTCAACAACTCAAATAGAAAAAATTGCTCCTATCTTCTACCATAAAATAAATATATAATAAATAAATAATAATAAATAAAGTTGTAATCGCTGTAAAACCATTTTATTTATACGCACGTATTTGTTTTCGTACGTCCCACCGTAATTTACAATGATTTTTATTTTTCGAGTTTAACCAATAAAGATTAAAAATAATAATTAATATTTGAGTTTTAATTTTTCGCCCAAAGGTAATTATTATTACTTGATTTTTATATTTTCGATCAAAAGTAATGATTATTCTATGATTTTTATATTTTCGCTCAAAGATAATAATTATTATTGAGTTTTATTTTTTTCACTTAAGAATAATGATCATTCCAAAACATCAAAATCTATACCATTGCGGTTTCCGCCGTATCCTTTTCAGAGGTAGCGACACCCTAATTAAAAGATAAGTCTAAAAATTTTCAGGTAAAATTTTCAATAAGTTGCGTCTGTAAAGCATTTAAAATTTTATAAATAATCATTATTTTTAAGTGGAAAAATAAAACTCAGTAATAATTATTATCTCTGAGCAAAAAAATAAAAATCATAAATTAATCATTATTTTTGATCGAACAAATAAAAATCAAATAATAATCATTTCCGTTGAGCAGAAAAATAAAAATCAATAATAATTATTATTTTAGAGCGAAAAAAATAAAACTCATAAAATAATGATTAAATACTGATTTAAATAATTTTACTCATAATGATTACCGTCCCTGTTTTAAAGGAATATATTCGAAAATATGATTACCTCCAAAAATTATCTAATAAATTCATTGCAATGTAAAATAAAAATATGGGAACCAAATTTTCTTTAGGATTAAAAAAATAAAACTTTTCTGAATTCACAAGGACGAATAGGTAATTTTTTAAGCTGATAAGCTGCACCAAAAAATTTAATCTGATTAAATTCTATAGAATTTCCTCTTTAATTTGATACCCGTATTTTTTCTCTAAGTGCATTTAACTAATTTTTTAAATCATTTTTGAATTACTGACGTCAGAGTGAAAAACTAAAAAATGCTATTTTACTATATTTGGCCCACGGTTTTGCGAATACTTTGATTTGTGTGTAAAATTTACTATTGCACGGTGTTATATGTAAATGAGCTAGACATTTATAGCCAATACTGGTCAAGAAAATTAGTTTTTGCCGTCAGTACAAATTAGAAATCCCGAAAATCCCGGGATTATTTGTAAAAATTTCTTTAGTTTGACGAATAAAAAAAGCCAAAGAAATGGTCAAGAAAAATATATTGGACCGAATTTTCTTAAGCAGTACGCAGTTCTTAAGAAATTTGCAACGCTTTCGACTATGGTTTGCTAAAGTTTGTTTGTGAAGAGTACAAGGCACCTTTGTTTTCAACTGAAAAGGTCCGTACTTAGCTTTATACGTTGAAATAAGCAAAAAAAGTATGATCGTTAAAATTAAGCTTGGAAACCCTGAATAAGCAAAATAAGAAATTCCAAGCAAAGTCAAACTTTACAAGCGATGACTGAAATTTGTTCTAAAATAAAAAAAAAATATATTAATTTTAAACCACCATTAGCTAACCGATTGGTAAAAAGCGCTGTATTTCTATTAGTTAAGTAATAAGTAACTGTGAAAATAGCCCTAATGCTAAATTTGCACTAGGCATTGAAATGACAAAAAATTGGTGTTATTTAAAAAATCCCATGTGGAATTGAACTTAATGACTATTTTTTTTAAGTAATGACACGATTATTTTTTAATGTCTAACCATATGCCCTTATACTATCTATATATATAATATGTGAAAGGATTTTTTTATCCAGGTCATCAGAGCAATAAGGTTTTATTTTTTTTTCGAAATGAGTTTCCAGATTTAATAAAAAAATAAGTTTAATTTATTTAAAAAGTTAAACCAATTATTACAAAATGTGTATCAATTGAAACGGTTTTAAAAATCTTTTTCTTAGCTTTACGTTAGGAGGGGTGCTACCTGTTTAAAAAGTTTAATTCGATTTGATTTAAGGGAATCAGGTAATAGAAATATGTATCGCCATATGGTCGTCAAACGAAAATAATTTAGGAGGTAACAGTTTGTAAATGTTTAGAAGAGTGTTGCCACCTGTTTTGAAAGTCGAATTCAGGCAACTTATAAACAGTGAAATATTAAAATACGCCAAACAAAAGAGTTTAACACTAATATTTTTGAGGTGTTTAAAGGGAGTTGCCGCCCGTTTAAAAAGTTAATTGAAAGTAGTTAATAAGTTTAATGAATTATTAAAATATTGGCAATACTTTAAATGGATTTTGCAAGGCCTTATTTCTGAACTATACATATTTAGAGGGTTGCCACATGTTCAAAAAATCAAATTCATCTTAATTTATCAGTTTAACATCAGTCAAATCATCAAATCAAATTCATCTTAATTTATCAGTTTATCATCAGTATGTATCACGATGTCAGAGAAAGGTTATTTAAGAAGGTTTTAGCTTGCAAATATTTTGACGAGGGTTGCCGCCTGTTTGAGAAGTTGAATTTAATTAACTTATATACAATTTATATGAAATATTAAAATACGGGTGTCTAACGAAGGGGGTTGCCCCCGGTTTAAAAAGTTACATTAAAAATATTTAGAAATTTGGACGAATTACTAAAAGATGGATATCAAAATCGAAATGGGTTTTAAAAGGCTTTATTTAGGAGGGTTACAACGTGTTTGAAAAATCAAGTTCAACTGAATTCATTCAATTTAATTGAAATATTTATCACAATGTTAGACAAATAAGATGTAAGAAGATTTTAGTCTGGAAATACTTTTGAAATGGATTTCTATCTGTATGGAAAGTCGAATTTTTTTAACTGATACTCAAGATTTACGAAATATCAAAATATGAGTATCAAGGTCGTTACATTTACCGTTCTTTCGAATTTTAAATATGAGAGGTTTGAAGTAGAGACCTTGGCCTGAAGATGTGCTATAAAATTTTAATTTTGAAAGTCAAAACTTTCTTATCGGTACAGGGTGATTTTAAATTTGATGATATGTATAAAAACCGACATTATGCGAGACCTCTCTTCACTCGGAAACGGCTGCATGAATTTAAAAGAAATATGGAACTCGGATCGCTTGTAATTAATAGCTTGAATTAAACTTTAGGGCGTTTTAACGCCATGCGGGTTCACTAGTTATATATTATTTCACTATGTGCCCAACTTTGTCATTACAATTTTCGCCATTTAATGCCTAGTCGAACTCTAGCGTAAAAGTACCTGCGTCCATTAAGTTCGTTTCCATATGACTTTTTTTAGATGACACACATTTTTTTTTTGTTAATCCGAATTAATTCATACCCACTTTTAATAGCCACACGAACAAAACCTTTGCGCTTTAAAAGCGAAAGTTCATATTGTCCGGGACGTGAGTCCAACGCCTCCTGTGCGCCACCAACCACAATGACAACACCGTTAGATGAGAAACCATCACCCTTCCAGCGACTTGTTAAATGATTCATCACCGATTTTTCCGAAACCGAAATGAACCCGGAAAGGCGAAAAAAATCGTAAAGTAATGGCGTTACATAGGTTAGGTTTAAAACCGTATGTTTGGGTCGAATACCAGGAAATAAGGCCAGCCAATTATCAATATCAAATCCCGCGTTAACAGCACTGCCATAACTGTAAAATGAAAACGCTTAAACAATTGTTAATGTGTAATAATAATTAAATAGTTAAAACTAACGTAAGGACTCCATGTGGAAAAGTGGCGAATAAATAATGACGATTTGCGGGTAGATCTTCAGTTTTGACCAGCTCGATGGGGAAATAGCGGCGAAGACTCTTCCACAACCAATTGCTGCGCGCCAATCTAAGGCTTGAATTAAGTATACGTACATTAGTAAGTACATATGTACATATGTATGTATGTGTTTTGGGATATTTTCGAAAATTTATAGTTTCTTTTAAATTTGTATCGCACACTCATGATTAACTAATCACTTACCCATTTCCTTTGATGGTAAAAATGCACTTCGCGCTTGATATTTGAATATATAAAATGTAAATCAGTATTAAAGACTTCCAAAACAAACTGCCATAAAACTACAAAAAACGAGATTTAAACAAATATTTATTATACATATGTATGTATGTGTGTGCTAATTTTATTCTAGACTAATCAACTTACAATTAAGCGAATAGACACAATCCAACCAGAAAAAAATGCTACGTAAATTAAAAAAAAACTCACAGCTCCCAGAACCTCTTTTATTTTTTGAAATGCGTAACTTCTTTTCATTATAGGTTATTTAGAGGGTAAATCGAGGTCCGTAAATGTGCAAACTTCTTTAACGACTGACTTTCTACTTTTAGGTGAATCGATCATGTTCATACTACAAAAACAAGGACGATTATTATAACTATAAATTATACAAATCAACGCTATCAAAATAATTGAGTTGTTGAGTGATAAGAATTTTAAATTTTTTAATAAATAGATAGCTCTTAATTAAGTTCAAAATAATAATAAAATAACTCAATTAATAAATGACTCAATAATAATTCCATAAATTGTATATATGTAAATTGAGCCACGTTTTTATAGCAGTATTAATCAAGCAATTATCCAAGCCTGAGTTTAATTTACCATACAACTTTTCTATTCTTAATTGTTCAATTATTGCTTACTTGAATGTCAGTCTAGTCAAGATAACCTGTGCAGGTCTGTTAGGTACGTTCCATAAAATACTTTCGGATGATATCACTAGACACGGATATAGGTGCGAGTTCAAAAGTTTACCGCGAAGAAAGACGCATAAATAAACTTCAGCGAAGAAAGACTCTTTAACAAAGTTGACGACAAAGAAAGCTGCGTTAAAATATGTGACGTGTAACATTTGACGAAAACAGTGTTTGCGGGTGTAAATTCCCCAAAGAGTTTTCCGGGCATGATGATGAAGAGACAGTCCTTGGTCATGTATAAATCTATATTTACGCGTTTTCTTCGCCGAAGTTTTCCTTAGGCGTCTTTTTTCGTAAGATTTTTTTAACACGTCTTTTTTGCCGTCAAAATACTAAGGCGCCCTTATTCGTGTGACGATATGATTTATATGGATCACGTCAAAATGGGTATCTGGCCAAAATTGGTGGAGAGCTATCGTTATTTCTAAGATGTGAAAAGTTAGGTATTTTTATGTAGAATCTACGATTTTGCGGTGTTTATAAAAGCAATAACGATTCGGTATTAAGTCACCATTTTCCGACCTGTTTGCTGAAAATTTTCCTATATCATTTATGAAAATCCAGATAAGCGACAAAAATCTTAACAAAAGGTCACTAAATATTTTTTGAAGTTCGCTGGACCCGAATCCGGGGTCAGTTTGGTCTCACGAAGTCAGTATCGAGGTTATTTGAAGGTCAGCTAGACGAACTATTGCAACCTCAAATTAAATCTACATATATTATCGAAGTGATTTTGAAAGGATCTTTAGAAAAATCATAATTTCTGAAATTGTCTATTGATTTTTGTAAATAGTACCTAAGTAGTTTTCCTGGGAATAAAACATTATTGTCAAAGTAGTGACTAAACGGGACTATTTTCTTTTGAGATTTCGACAAAAAATGTTTTAGAAGTGGATAAAATAATAAAAATTGGTGTAAGTTTCAGTAATTCCTTTCCAAAGTCATATAAAAACTTAAAATTGGTTGAAAAAATGACGTCATGCGAAAATGTTTTTTTAAGGATAAGTTGAGAATTGTAGGGCGTTAGAAAAGTTTCAAATGCAGTTTCGTGAAAACTGTGTAATAGAATCACTCAAAATACTTGTCCATTCATCGTTTAAATCAAACTGGTCAACATCTGTGTATACCGCTATGATTTCTAAAGACTTGTTATAATGGAAGTAAAGCTGCCTTTATATGAGGCGATTTTTTGACAGGCGATAATCGCATGCAAAAGTTGACTTGCTGTCTACTTTGAAGCAAGCGATTTTTGAAACACTTTTTACACGAGCGATTTTTCCACAGCAATATTGAATCGCCTGGAAAATCGCCTAACATAAATCCAGCATAACGGAACGGAGTGAACTGTCACTTAATTATCTATTGTATGGGTAAAGAATGCAAATGGTTATAATGCAAGTAAACGCACGGTAAAACGGAAGCATCTAAATTCAAAATATACGGCAAAAATCAACTTTTTCTGGGTATTGGACCAAACCAATTATTTTGAAGAGGAGTTAGCTTCCGAAATATTGTCTGGCCGCTACTATTTGCTGACCAAAAGTCATTTTTTAAAGTATCGATAAATCGATTTTATTTTTGTCGCTTCACTCCAGAGTAAAAAAGTACATACATACCTACTCATTATTTTCTTAAAGAGATTTCCCGTTGAGATATCAGCCATTAAAGTTGACATTTCTACTAAAAGTTTACATTTTTTTTTTTCGTAGTCAGTATTCTTGTAGCTCGAAATGGTATAAGTCTTCGAGTGAGAAAGATACTTCAACAAGTAATATTTGCAAAAAAAAAACCGACTTAAAGAAAAAAATATATATATATATCTATATATTTCATGATTCAATAATCGGATCTAAACCACCTCTGAGACACTACCTTTCCGTTGCAAAAAGAATTATCGAAATCGGTTAACGTGGTGCAAAGTTATGCGGTAACATACATAAAAAAAAATAAAAAATATTCCGACGAACTGATAACCTCCTCCTTTTTTGGAAGTCGGTTAAAAAAAAAATATTCTGACGAACTGATAACCTCCTTTTTTGGAAGTCGGTTAAAAAAGAGAATGGAAATGAATATCGAAAGTAATATTTGTGTGATTAACAAAAAAGAAAACTAACACATATCTTGCTAAATAAAATGAAACTCATTTTCAAAATGGACTCTAATTTGGGTAATAGTATTCCGCTTTAAGAAGAGCTATAAACAAGTAATTTTTAGCAAAAAACAAAACCGACTTTAATTCTCATATAAAAATTTAAGGAGTATCGTTAATTTTTTCATGATCCAATGATCGGGTCTAAACGAAATATGCTGGAAAAGGCAAAATAAAATAGCGAAAAAGGCTGGAAAAGGCACTAGGTATTGCAAAAAAGGCAAAACAAAATGGCGAAAAAGGCTCTAGGTATTGCAAATAAAGCAAAATAAGGCACTAAAAAAAAGACAGAAAATACGAAGAACAATCAAAAAATACATTCATTTTAGAAATGTTTATATTACAATTGAAAAGAGAAAAACTATGAACTAGTTTCATTATATCGCTAGCTTAGAGTGAAAAGTTGCTAAGTCCACTTTTTATGAAAACTCATATTTTGATATAGGAGGCTAGAGAAATTGAATACGCATCGTTTCGAAAATTATAAAGGTACTTGTTTTATTTTTTCCTCTTCATAAGCAATAAAAGGAAAATTTGCTAAGTCCAAAAGAAGCACCGCAAANTCATATTATCAGGAATAAGGGCGTTTTCCTCGCCCTTTACAATTTTATCCACACCCCTTATTGTCTCCAAGCCTACGTTAGCTGAGAAAACGGCTTTGAATTTTTCCAATACCAATTTGGCAAGAGGTCCCTGCGCTTCTATAAGCCGCATGGGAAGGTGTATATTTTTTAATCTTAAAAAAAAATTTGTAAATGCTATAATCACTTTTTTAAAGGTAGAAAAGGCAAAAAAAGGCAAATATCTTAAAAAAGGCAAAAAAAGGGCAACATCTATCTCTTTAGCAGAAAAAAAGGCAATTTCCATAAAATCCGTTCCCTGGTAATAATATACTTGTTGTGCTAGATTTCTTTCAAATAAATATGTACAAATATAAGCTTATATCTAAATGAAAAAGTTTTTACTTGACGCAGCTATGATTCGAAAAAAATATATAGCAAAAACTAAACAAATTTTTTAAACTAAAATATTTTCCGATAACGCTGTATTGGATCCGCCATTTTCAGTTTCAAAAATCCGACCTCAGATTTTAAATCATCGATTTCGAAAACCCCTCTTATAAATAAGTTTTTGATGAACAAAAAAAAAATAAATATAAAATTTAGTAGCCATATTGGATCCACCATTTTAAATTTAAAAAATCTGCTATCAAATTCGAAATCAGCGCCCTAGAAAACTCTCCATTTATTTGAGTTTGTGCTGAAAAGGAAAAAAATTTAAAATTTGGTCGCCATATTGGATCCGCCATTTTAAATTCCAAAAATATTACATCATATTCGAAATCGGCGACCTTGAAAACCCAGCTTATATATAAGTTTTTGTTGAGAGGAAAGAAGTATAAAATCTGGTCGCCATATTGGATCCGCAATTTTGAATTTCGAAAATCTGAAATTATATTCGAAATCACCGACCTCAAAAACCCTCAAACACTAAATTTCAAATCAATTTGGTTACTTCTTGACTTTTGGCCAGCAAATGGTAGTCGCCAGACCATAGTAAATAAAGTAAAAATATATTTAAATTTTTGTTCAAACTTAGTATATTACAGGTGCTATAAGGGGTCAAAGGTCAGATCTTCGAAAAATTAAAAAGGTTGTATTTCAAAAATGTTTGAACTTTTGTAATATACATAAGTTTGCACAAAAAAGTTATAAAACTGTAAGTTGTATTAAATTTTTTATAACTATTGATTTAATTATAAAATTTTATTAATGATTTGTTCTGTTATGTTGTGTTTGATTTAGATACTTTCTGATATTTTTCTGTATGGCAACTGATACTTTTTTTTCAAGCTCGCGGCAACGCGGACACTCACTAGCACAGCACATCAGACTCCCAATAATAATACCCAATTCTTTATTTAACAGTTATCTCATGGTAACTATGTATATATTATAGGTCCGCCAAAAACCCCCAAAAACCACAGAAAATCCAATGGAAGAACAAATCAAAAATCTTTAGTATTAATATTGAAAGTCTCCTGACGAGAACCAGAGTTTTCCGATCGAAAAATATTTGGGGTATTCACAACCGTGTCGTAAGTGTCGTATTGTTGTATGTCGTAAACTTTAAACGCCTAAAAAATATATTAAGAGGGTTCGCAAAGTACTATCACAGTCATATTATGAATTTTCACAGTGTTAAAAAAAAGTTAATTGTGGTTTTAAGTTCTCTAAACATTTATTTAAGCTTTTAAAGTTTACGCCATGCAACAATACGACGCTTACGACACCGTTGTGAACCCCCCAATTGATTTTCAAGAGTTATATACAACATATTTCGTCGAAAACGTTTTTCCCATATAAAATACATGGAAAAAACTTTGAGCAACCTCTAAATATTTTTTGATTTCCAAGTAAAAATTAGAGGTATATTTTGTTCGGTATAGAACAATCCTAGGGGTGAGAGAA